AGTTCCAGCACAGCTGAGCAGTTCGAGCGCTGTGCTGGAACTGTCCCGAAACTAACGGATCAGTACGGACCTAGCCTTTGAGGAAACTCACCGATGTGAGTCCAGCTGCTTCCACAAGCAATTTTGCCAAGCTTTCCGAGTTCTTCCAATGTTCTAGCAAGTGGAAAACGCTTTCAAAAGCAGCATGCGAAGACCTTTCATGTTCAGTTGTTCCTTCAAGCAAATTTTAGAGATAGGAACTTTATAACAGCAAGAAACTATTCAACGAAACAAAGTAGCGACAGAACGAAAGACTTACCAGCATACAGTTGATGAACTCGTGAGTAGATATCAAGGACATCTTCATCCGAAATAGCAGTCCCTTGAAGCTTGCTGTTAGCTTTCCAGTTTATGAACACAGTTCCACCACTAGAGTACTCTGTCGAAGAGCATCGAGGGATTTCAAAATCAACAGAATCAGTCAGGCAGACAACTTCAAAGCGATTCTCGTTTTGAAAATAGGGAAGCTAGAACAGTCATATATGAGATAAATTCACAAAATTCTAGAAGAGAGATAACTCACAGAGCTAGCAAAGTCAGGACCTCCACGACTGTGGGCAATGACGAAAATGCGTTGCCCACTGGAATCTTTCAGTAGCTGATCATAAACGGCACAGATATGTCGGCGAGCGTAATCTCGGAACTGGATGAAATGAATGAGATCACACTATCTATATTGCTCTCATAATTAGTTTACTACGCTACAAACCTAGTCTCGGCTATAAATGAATAGGGGATGGAACAATGGAGTTCAAACTTACATCCTCATTGGTGTTGGTGTTACAGACAATTACTCCCCAGTCATTTTTGATAGCACGCTGAATGTATGGAATCTGCGATCCAACATCCAAACTTTCGTTCAAAATTAATCTAAAAAGACATTCTTCAACTTCTGAGTTGTAGAAAAGGAAAAAGGATTGGTGCAGAGGGGGTAGACTTGATTTTGGATAATAAATATTCTTATCATAAAAATTGATTAGTTACTACAACTGAAAACCAAGGCATCGATAAGAACTCAGTGGCGCACCGAGTGGGAAGAGGGCCGGGATACATAAGTTCAAAAAAATATGCAAGTGACTTGTCAACACCTGTAAATAGTTAAATTAATTTTTAAGTTTTTGAAAATACAATTTAGTCTTATAGAAAATTTTCGCGGGTATGGCTGGCGCAATGCCCTTTTTTCCAAGATTCTGGGGTTAAAGGCATTGTCCAGATCAATTTGGGGGTATTGGGATCTTG